TTGCAACATTTCGACTCATGGAGTTCAAACCACACTGATTATTCTTGAACTGGAAATAATTTCCTAATGGATGAGAAAACAAATTCTAAATCACAAATAGTGCGTTTGGACACGCTCCATAAGGAATTGATGTGGTAAGTTGTCACGTACTGCGTGTCGAATGACGTATTATGTAGTGGCTACTGGCTTGGTGATGAAAAAAATTGACCACTGGTATGAGGTTTCAGTGATGGAGTCGTTGATGTGGGTTATTGAGACGAACTTGTGAGAAATAAATTAGTAGGCTTGGTGGTGCGGACTCTCATGGGTGTGCCTTCCATTTCCATGCAGCTAACCCTCGCGTGATTAGTGTTTAGGCACCTTTTGGTCAACGCCTAGCCATCGCCTAGTCAATGCCTAGTCATCGCCTAGTCACTGCCTAGTCATCATTTAATCATCACATCGTCGATTCAATCTCCATTAATTCCTAGCCATCGTCAAGTCACAACCCAGTCATTGCCTAGCCACAGCCTAGACATAGCCTAGTCATCGCCTGGTCGCTGCTAGTCTTCAAGTATTCAATGCCCAACAATCGCCTAATAAAATCCTAATCAATGGCTAGCCATTGCCTAGCCACAGCCTCGTCACAGCCTAGTCACAGCCTAGCCGCTGCCTAGTCACAGCCTAGCCGCTGCCTAGTCACAGCCTAGCCACTGCCTAGTCACAGCCTAGTCACAGCCTAGTATCATCTAATATTCAATGCCTAGCAATCGTCTAATAAAATCCTAATCGATGGCTAGCCACTGCCTAGTCACAGCTTCGTCACAGCCTAGTCACAGCCTAGTCGCTGCCTAGTCACAGCCTAGCCGCTGCCTAGTCACAGCCTAGCCACTGCCTAGTCACAGCCTAGTATCATCTAATATTCAATGCCCAGCAATCGTCTAATAAAATCCTAATCGATTCCTAGCCACTGCCTAGTCAACCCGGAACCATCCTCCACCCAATGTCTATCATTCAGTAAATTTCCAACCATCACTCGACGATTGTCTATCCATCGCCCGACCAATTCCTGACCATCGCCTAGTCAATGCCCAGCCAATCCCTATTCATACCATCCGATGAATAGCTCAAACTACAGCCTACGCATTTCGTAATGGAAAAACGATAGTCGTGGGGTCGTCGGTTGCATTCATTCCAATGATGAAAGCAAAGCTGTCGTTCTCAAAGCCCCCCCCCCCCCCCCCCCCCCCCCC